ATTAACATTACGAATTCCGAATGCAACCTAACTAAAAACTTTGTGAAAAAAGGAGCTCAGTTACGCATTACGAATAATTTAAGCATAATATAGGATTTGGTTCAATAACTTTAACATTTTGATGGGTTTGACAACGTGTCTTTTAGGTGCCCCAAATACATTTAAGCGCCATAATATAATTGCACTGACAAAAACCCTTAAAATATTTCAAATTTAATTTGTATCAGTGACCACTGTATAAGTAACTTAACAACTGGATTATTAACTTATTGCAAATACTACATATTTGTTATTACAGTAAAATATGTATGATTATTTTGAAGAAATAAAACAATGCCGAATTAACTATTATTTTAAATTGATGTCACAAGGATAGATATGAAGCTTCTTTTAGAAGGGGGTAAATGAGGACATTAATAATTGATATATAAATATATAATTATATAATGGTGATGGAATGAAGACGTCTTTCCCGTAGTTAAGCAATTTGGTGAAAACATTTCTTGACTATCTTATTATCTTATTATTAAATTATTATTATTATGATGAAAACTATTTTTATAGTTCAACTTTTTGACCACAATGACGAACACTGGAAGGAAAATCAGTCTGTGAACAATTCTGCTTAAGTCTAAAAGTACTTACCCACTAAAACTATAATAAATTGGTTGGTGATTGTGTCTTTGCCTAGCACATGAATTTATCGTAATCTACCTGAGATCAACTTTCCAACACATTTTGATTTATTCTTCAAAAATTGAAAAAATTGAATTTTTATTTCTGCATTTAATGATAAAGGGGAATAAATCGAAAAATTGGGACATTTTGGTCTCAAGTAGATTTGATGAAAAATTCGTTTTCAAAATTCTTATGTAGTACTACATCACTAGACCAATCGACAAGTTTGAAATAAAAAATATCTAAGTTACCATGTTGCACGTGTCTTAAACAAAGACAGAACATCACTGCTTTCAATCCCTTTAAGTCTAAAACACACCTCCAAGGTTATGACAGAATATTAATAGATTACTCATAAATATTATTTTTAATATTTAAATAATGATTATATTTATTGATTTGTAAACCGCCTTATAATAGAACAATTCTGTTGCTATAAAGATGATATTTAAAGATCGTTAATAAACTATAATAATTAAATCAGTTCAAAAAAAAATCCAAAAGAGATAATCGATACGCCCCCCCCTCCACACACACACCCACCATTTAATACACCCTTTTGCTGGAATCGCACTATGCCACTTACATTATCTTACAAATTACAGTTTATGTGCTGCACTCTATCGATAAAATTAATGTTTGTAGAGCTTTGTTAAACGCGAGTTTCTCCGTAAAAATGTATATAGATATCCCAATGTATACGGGAATAGTAGGTACCTTATAATTTTGATGATCCATTGATCACTGAGTGAGTCAGTCTTAAATCACAAAAATTCAAACTTTGAAGTTCTTCCCTCCACGCAGACAACCATAAATACAATGTTCTGTTGTTTAGTACAATAATACTATCAGGTATGTAATATAATATAGGTACAATGGCGCAACTAGGGGATGCACAAAGGTTTTTAGAACCCCCAAGTTAAAATGTAGTACCCCTTGTTTTGTAAATCTAACTTTTATTATTTCATTGAAGTACCATGAATTTTATGTTTTGAAATTATCGAAAATTTCCTAAAAAAAATGTATAATTATTTGGTCGTAAGTCATATAATATAATTCATTACAGTTCATTCCGTATTCGAATATTTTTATAATAGTTGGACGATTAACGATAAGGACATAACTACATAAGGTATACATTGCCGAGAAATATATTGCTCACGATCTATTTTTAGCCGATAGGTAATAGGTCGCATCAAAAAGCACTACATAGTATATTAATTATTATACTATATATATTATCTGTACTTTAGGGGGCTGCAATATTACTGGTGAACCCGCATAAGTTGTATAATAACGTTTTATTTGGTAAATCCTTATTATATAATCTTTAATCTTTATACATAAATAATTAAAAATCCAAATTTTTAAGAACTTTTGCAAATTGCAATTACAATTCCGATAAGCTCTGCAGCTACTTATGACTTGTGAGCGAAGTTTTTCGACAATGTGGCGGATAAAAAACTGGCTAAGATCAAGCATGCTTCAGAAAAGGTTTACTAATTTATTTTTGTTGAATATTGAAAAAGATTTATTAAATCAGCTAAATACCGAAATTATTTTGAATAAATACTGCATGAAACCCAGAAAAATTATGCTGATTTAAAATGTATGATATCTTAGTTATTAATCAACAAGATTATGAGATTAAAATGTACCAATATGTTATTGATATTGTAGTAAAAAAAGAGTATTATTAATTTTTTTCTTTTATTTATGTGAAGTGTGTTAATATGTATTTTAAAGTTTTGATTTATCGAGTATTGTAGGTTTAGTTGTAGGGGGGTGTTTAGGGCTTTGCCCCCCCCCCCCACAACTCTGTGATGCATTCACAGATTTAGCACTCCACGTTTTAGAGGTCTAGTTACGCCACTGTATAGGTATACCTACTTTGGCAAAGGTAAGTACTACATTATTTTTTCAAGATATATTTTATAGTTAATACATATTTATATATGTGTATAAATATAATGATTAATACCTATATTATATAAAACAAATAATATATAATATACTACCAAAATAATTATCATAATATATTAATATAGATACCAGCTAGTATATTATTATAAAATAATGTAAATTAGGTAATGTTAATCACAGAATCGCGTACCTACCTATGGTTTGCAGACTGCAGTTATGCACGAACAAAATAGAAATTTTTATTTTTTAGTGATGACCTAAAAATGTATTTTTTCTCTTTCAAAACTATCTATCATCTGGTGTTCACTCGAATTCATTATAATGGATGTTCTCAAATGACGTATAACATGAAAAAGTAAAATGAACATTGCTTTTAGGCTACGCAAAAGGTTAGTTTTTATCTTCGAAAAAGATCTAAGACTAACCCTTATGAAAAACACTGTTTCGGGATTTATTTTTAATGTCAAATTGTTTTTCCACGTAAAAATATTAATATCTGAGGTAGTGAGGTGAACGTTCTGACGCATTAGCCGACAGCAGATTTCTAGGTCAAGTTACATAAAAATGCTTTCAAGTGGAACCGGCTATAATTATATAATCCATGCACCACCCAAGAGCGCTTATAGTGCTTATACTTCTGACTTTTTTACCATCGAATTTTTGATGAGGGATTTGCTCACTGTAATATATATACTATATGTTAATATGTTATATGTACCTAGTACCATTGATTTTAAATACTATTATATACCTAATCAGTATTATGTGTTTATAATCAATGCTAGTACCAAATACGATATTAAAAGTTCAAACGAATTTCATAACCAAATCCGCTTGAACAAAAATATAATTATTATTTTTGTAACATATTTACAAATTCATCATATTCAAATTAAAAGGCTTGCCTTAAATGCACGACTCCGCATCTTACAAACTCTAATTACCAAAAACAAACACACTCCATTAAATACTAAACTCTTAATAAATTTATAAACCCTTGTTTAAGCCTATGTGAACCTAAGGTCTTCAACTCTGGGGCAATTTCAAAAAATCCAACACTAATAAAATTCAAACCTTCCAAAATAACATCCTTCGTAAAATCATAAATTCTCCTCCTTATATTTCAAACCTAACTTTACACACCGATCTAGAAATTAAAACAGTCCACGAAGAAGCAGTAACCTTTTACAAACGTTTCCACTCAAAACTCCCTTCTCATACCAACCCCTTAATTTCAAACCTTACCACCTTCACAATTCCTGGGAGGATTCCCAGGAGGCTCAGAAGGAAATGGTGTAGAGATCTTCTCAATAAGTAATTAAAGTAGCTATTTATACATTAAAAAAAAAAAAAATTATCAAGTAAGGGTAATGTAACCACTGGCTGACTCCTCCCATCACGTTTTCATGTAAATATTTTCTAATATCACATATTCTTATTGTCCCTGAAGAAACAGATTGTATATACCTCATAAAAAAAAAATATATTCACAAATACAACAAAATAAATGTTTATTTTTTTGGGTACCTACCTACCGGCGACATTCGAGTTTGGAGGTGTGCATACATTTTTAATTGTAACTTGCTTGTAAAAAGTCTTGTAATGAATTCATCAATACTAAATAAAATATACAGCGGCCACTAAATATTGTGCTAGTTTATTACAACTAGGTAAACTTGGAGCAAAATGGCGTAATTTGTTTCAAACAGTTTTGCAGTCATAATTCTTCATTATGAGTTATTATTTTTTGTTTTTTTTTTCATATTTTTATACATAGTTTATCTGAATACGCATTATAAATTATAATAGTATATTCGTTCAATCTATTTTAACATTGATACTGTTGTGTGGCTTACTGGCTCAGTGGTTTGCAAATTGCTATATCGTCTATCGCAGAGATTCTCAACATTTTTATATCTGCGTTACATACAGTTTGAAAATGTCGATGTACCATTACCTTAACCTAATATTTAATAACTCTTTGGACTCTGAGCTGAGCGATGAGTGTATTTTTACAATGATGTGTTGTTGTTTTTTTGTATGTGTACACGATAAGTACCTAATATTGGTATACAATGTTTAAATGCACGAAAAAATGACCAGCTTTCAACTACAGCCTCGACGAGTTTATTCCAAAGACTATCGTATGTTTCTGCAGCGTCCTTGGAACACGGTTTTGTTGTTGTTTACGCTATGTTGTTTACATTACCAATATTCACCGGTTGGGCATTGGCTAAATTCCGTTAACGGTTAATTTTACTGATAACGTAATGGTTCGTACTGTTCGTGAATCGTAGTTGTTTCGTTTTCGTGGTTCAAGTGGGCCGTAATCACTAGTCACTAGTTCATGGTCGTAATCATTAACACTCATAACAAGATACATAATAATAATATGGTAATACTTGTCCATAGTCCTACTGTCGTAGTCATAATACTTATATTATCTATATACACAGTAAGTTCTTCGTCGTAATCGTCGGTCGTCAAAGTGTCGGACATAATATAACGCTTAACAGGTTAACGTATTTACGTATTTATTTTAACGGTCGACGGTCGTACCACAGACTACTCTCGAAGTCTCGTACTCAAAATACCGAAACCGAAAAGCTGAAAAATTATTATAAACTACCGGCTATCGAATTAGTAATAACGTGCTAATTTTTCATTTTTCAATATTCATGTGTCTGATGTTATATTAAATCAAAATGGAGAATTTTGAAAGCACTATTCTTCGTTGGGTAAGTCGAATGTTATAGTTTTTATTTCTCTTTAAATCAAACAACTGTGGTTAGAAAAGACAGAACAAATATATTTTAATGATTTCTCAGCTTAATTTAGAATTAATTATTTTAATTTGAAAAATTCCACTGTATATGTATGTATAACTAATTAAAATAATATATTTTTCCAATATCTTGCCGATATTGGTACCTACAAGATTATTTATTAATTTTGTCCGGTAAATCATTTACCTACAATTTATATCAATACTAATTTTAAGTTTGATTGTGCATCACATTATATTTTTCCTTTTACCTAATTATATGTACCAGACTTTTTGGTAGAATGGCCATTTAATATGTAATAGGTACCTACTTTTGTTAACTTGATAACTATTATAACATACTATTATTATGCATATACTATTTGTTATTACTATTACTATTATTAATTATTATTTATACACAATAATTTTCAGATGTGTTTATTTGATGAATTTAATGACAATGAATATTCAAATACAAAACATCTCATATCCAGTACATCATTTAAACAATTTGTTGATGATGTGTAAGTATTGTATTTCATTTATTATATTAATTAGTCCTAAAATATAGATTGCTAACAAATTAGAAAATGTTTTGTGATAAACTATTATATTCATTTTTATTTGATTTAACATACTTATGCTGGGTTGCAGTAAACAATCACTAAACATTAATAAATCAATAGTAAGCCAATCAATAATGGTCTCTTAAACATGATTTAGTAGCCCATGATTAATCAATTCATTTTTAGGGAACCATTTAGTTACTTATTTGTCTCATGCAACTCATCATTGCTGTAATTCTAATTAAAACCTAGTATTATAAAATATTAATTGTATTTTGACTTTTCAATTAGATTTTGTTTGAAATGTTCTTCTGCTTTGAGCACAGATGATACAAAAGTTTACAACACTATAAAAGGTATTATTTGATTTGAAAGTGAATTTATTCAAAAGTTTTTTTATTAAATATTTTTTAAAAATAATTTTAAACAGCAAACTACTGTGAGTTTGAAGTTCAAAACTATGAAGACTTATATAATGAAGACAATGCAATTTATGCATGTGTCATTGTTTTGCTACATGCATTATTAAAATGTACTAATGACCAGTACAGAAATCAGTTGAGTGAGAGAATGGATAACGAAGAACAAATATTTCTAGCAAATTTCTTAGAAGCTACACAACCTTCATTATTCACTAAACAAAATATTTCTGAGGCACTACTGTTATTAAAAGATTCTAAGCATACTTGTAATAACGTTTCAGGTAAATGTTAAAATTATTATTTCTAATTTAAAATTTAATTATACTTGTTGAAATAAATAATTGTACTTTAAAAATTTGTATGGATAGAAATATGTTCAAATAACGACACGCCAATCAAATCAAAATCAATGCGCCGAAGCTATTTACAAGAATTTTGTCAGGTATTATTAACATTTATAAAATTAATTACTCATTTTCTAAAGTATTCTCATAGCAGTGTATATATATTTGTGTTTAACCGATCCAACTTTGGAATAATAAAGTATGTTGGACAAGCTCAAGACGTTTAAAAATATTTCCACAGCAGCTGTGGCCATTGAACTAACATTATTTTATATTATTACATACTACTGTACATTGTTGGTTAATTAATTTACATTCTTATACACTGTATGGTAAATAAATATATGTTAGTTATAGTTAAATTTTTAAATTTTTGATGATTAGTTTTGAATTATTAATAAATTCTAAGGTACTTTTATTGTTGCTTGGGTCAGGGTTCAGTGACTTAGAGAGCTGGTCTGGCAGGTCGGCATCTCTTCTGTCATTTTTGTTGCTCCAGCATTCTAAGAGGATGTGGTTGGCGGTTTTATTGTATATTTAACTAACTACATTTTATGCTTAGGAAAAGTATAATATGATATACCATGTGGGGTAAATGAACATTTATTGCTATCAAAAACTTGATTTTACAGACATTCTGTACCCGGCAAATATTGAGATCATATATTTCTTGGTCCCCCGTGTATTTTGATTATAGGTTTATACGTCCCAAAGTTTCTTAAATTATACTTAATACTGATTCATGATTTATGGTATTTAATGTTATTGAAACTTACAATACTAAACAATAAATGGTTTTATTTGCATTTATTTTATAATTAATAATTTTATCATTTATTATTATAGTCACCAAAATCTCAATCCTTGATAAATCAAGAAAAAGAAAAACTTATTACCAAACTTACCGAGGACTATAAAAACGAATGTGAAGAAAACTACAAGTTAGCTGAAAATGTTAAATGCCTGCAAGATCTTAATACAAAACTAAGTAAATAATTATAATATGCAATTTACAAATCAAATATACATACATTTTAAGATTTGTAATTAGTTATATAGAAATATACATTTGATATAAATAAAATTAAAATTAAATTATATTTCACTATTAAGTAAATTATAAAAGACTAATTGAAATGTTCAAACTATTATTTATTAGCATGTATTATATAGCTTATTATATTTTTTATATAATGCATAAAAAAAAGTAAATTGTTTTTTACTTTTTAAAAATTACTTGCTTTACTTAAAATGTTTAATTTAGGTAATAAATTAGAAGACAAAGATAAAATATTACAAATATTGAAAGATGAAATCAAAGAATATTCCAAACCAAACCCATCTCCAGAATGTTTAAGAGTAGACAGCGATTTAATTATAAAAAAATTAAACAGAGATAAAATAGATTTGGAAATGAATTGCAATGAATTAAAGCAGCAAGTAACAGAACTTGAGAAAAAACACAAAGACCTTAATGGAAAAGTATGTAAATTATGATTTTTATAAATTACTTATCTGGACTATCAGTGATGGCTTTGAAGTTGAGCCATATGAGATCTGTCTGATATCCTAAAATTTGCATCTAACCAAAAATCCTACATTCATTTATGTAATTAAGTTATACAGTGTATGCACTGTAGGTATATTATAAGTAAAGTAAATGGTATCCAAACTTTCTTTTAAGGTGAAAGAATACGCTTCACCGAAATAATATGGTCAGACTTGTCTGTGATAACTAAATAATTATTCTTGTAGTTTTATAACTAATTTATTAATCTTTTTGTTTTATATAGTTTGAAATGAAAACTTTAGATTATAATAACCTTATTTTAATGTTTGAAAATATTGAAAACGAAAATATGTTGTTAAAATCAAATTTGAAATTGTTTGAAGAAACCATACAAAAAAAAGACACCGAAATAATAGTAAGTTTATAAAATACTGGATGTCTTACCTTAAATGGTATAGAGTTCAGTAAAATGAATGTGCTTTATACTTAAAATTTCAGCTTGACTTAATAGAAAATGGTCATGATTTAGTTTAAATGACTTGTTTACTTTTTCTCATTATTTGAAAATGACAAATTTTTTGATGAATTTAGAGTGTTGTTTATTTATATTCAATTTCAGGTCTATAGATTATAATCTACTATTGAACTGTTTAATTTTGCAACATCACATGACCTTTATATTGATATTAAATAAACGTATAGATGTGGCATTAACCTGTTTGTAAGCCAACACAACTAATATTTTTATCTTGTTTAAATGTTAGTTTCTTTATGGCTAAAGAGCTTCTGTATTAGTGAAAACCAATATTTTTATCTCTATTATGTTTTCCTAAAAGTGTATGTGTTGTGGACATATTAATGCTGATCCATATGTTTATCATGACATTTTTTATAATTACTATCTAATGTGGTTGACTAAAAAAAGTACAATCACGTCTTCTCAAACTATAAATCTCAAGAGCTATATATTCAATGAGTTATTATCATAAAATATAATGTTTTATAAAATGTATGACTATTTTTATTTCAGTCATTAAAAGATGAATTATGTAATAAATCAATTACAAATAATCCAACAAATATAAGCGGTCAAGAGAACAATGCTATGACTTCAAATACATTATTTAATGAATTGAGTTGTTTAAAATTAGAAGAAATAACACATGATAAAGAAAAGTACAGGCATAAGTACAAATCAATAAAAAAAGACCTATCAAATGTAAGTATTATCAATAAATATTTTTTACACAATTTCATACTTAAAATATTACTCATCGTATATATGCTAAATATTATAGTAGCTACCTAATTAATGCGAGTCGTCTCATTATTTACCTTGGTATATTGATAGTCACTTGAAACACCTTACAATTTTTAACATTTAGTGCTATTATTATAATAAAATTAACCTTTTGTTTGTCACTACAGGGTATTTTAACACCCCCGACTTGTTAAAAACGTTTGTTTGTTGGGAGGTAAAACATATGAACCTCCACCACCCTTGTTATCATTTGTGATAAAAGTATTAATATGATATTCTGTTCATATATTTTAATTAATTTGGAATGAATGTTCATATTACTTGTGAAATATTAAAAAAAATCACATTTAATTATTTTAATATTAATTATACATACATCCAAGACAAAAATTTAGCAAAAAAATAATATAATCTATGAAATTTGAAATTATGCATTCCAGAAATAAATTTATCACATGGGGTTTAATATTATCCTGAGTAACTAAAATTGTTCAAACCAATAAAGTGACTAACAGAGGGTTTTAAACACATCTAACATTATGTTTCCTGCAATATAAATTTAATTCAAGTAGCACTAATAATCAATTAAAAATATGCTACACACGCATGTGATGTATTCATTTTAGAAATGTACAACATAGCAAAATTGCTTGAACTTATAATAAAACTTGAATGTAAAAATATTATTTTGGGCATCTAGTAGAATTTTATTATTTTAATGTATATACCTGAAATATTCATAATTTGGCTTAAAGTTTAAATCATTAAAAGCATATAACAATGTCCTACATAAAATTTTACATTTAAATTAATAATAGATTAATTCACCCTGTACTCTGTTTCAAAAGAAAATAATAAACTAGTTCTACATACCTTTCCCCTTCAAACTGTCACTTCTACAATTATTGTTAGGTTACACAGTTCATTGGTAAAAGGAACTCATTGCCAGAAAAAAACCTGTTGCCTGGTATATTAACTTTTGGGACAGAGTTTAATTATTTATTATTTTATAGCTAAAAATGAAAAACACAAATTTCCCATGTTATAGGTATATGAGAAAGAAAAATATAAAGACATACTTTCAACTAAAATTAAAAAACTGAAGTAGCAATATTTGTTTATTTAATGAATACTCCCAATATTTTATTTTATATCAGTCACCCGGCCAAAGAGCATAATGAGTTAAGAACTACTAATTAATAATACATTATTGCACAAAATAGCCTGCCAGTTAAATTAACTTATAACTGTAATATCATATAATTTATTTTATTTATTCCTTTTTTTATGGTTTTTCTAGACCAAAATTCATGTAGAAGAATTGAATGAGAAAATAGTAACATTAGAAAAAAAGTTGAATGACTATGAAATTCATAAGGATGAACTGATAGACCAATTCTCAAACAAAATAAAAGAACTTCAAGAATGCCAAAAGAAAAAAAATAATTTGGAATCAAAAATTAAGCATCTTAAAGATACTATCAAAGACAATGAAAATCATATTGAATCACTGTGCTCTAAATTAAATAAAAGAGAAAAGGATATAGAAATATTGTCCCTTGAAATAGATTCTGTGAAAAAATCAAAAACTATGATTGAACTAATTTTAACCAAAACTAATACAGAAATTGAAGCTATACATGAAGAACATGATGAAAAAGTAAAAAATTTGGAGTCAATAATTGATGACTATAAAAATTCAGAAAAATTATCTCATCAAAACTTGATGGATTTAGAAAATAATATGAAAAATGTTCAAGATAATTTAGAAAACAAAGAACACATAATAATATTTTATGAAGAAAAAATGGCTGAAAATTACCAAATAATTGGTGTTCAAGAAGAACAATTGAAAACTATGTACCAAGAAAAACTTATGTTGGAATCCCATTTAAAAAATATAAAAATTGAAATTGAAATACAACAGAAAAATTTTAGTGAAAAAAATTGTGAAATGGAAAACTGTTTGGAATATTATCTTGATGAATTGAAAGATCTCAAGGATGAAAAAACAAAAATAGTAGATATTTTACATTCTAAAGAAAATGAAATAGAACAACAACTGAAACTGATTAACAGCCATAAAGATAGAATTGAAACATTACAATCAGAACAGTGTAGCCAACAGCTAATCATAAATGAGCTTAATGAAGTTTTGCGACAAAAATCTTCTGAAAATAATGATTTATGCGCGAAAGTACTAGAATCTACTTTAGATTTAAATAAGTTAAAAGAACAACTTGATGCATCATTAGTTGAGAATAATAAAATAAAAACAAACTTAAAAGACTATGAATTGAAAATAAAATCTATGAATGAAGATTTTCAATGTCAGATTAATGATATGAAAAATGAATTAGAAAATCAAAACAATCAGTGTGTATTAAGGGTTGAGAAATTACAAGACACTTTAGATAAAAAGCAGAATGATTTTGACGAACAGCTAATGACATGTAGTAAGCTAACAGAAACAATTTCTCAATTACATTTGGAAAAATATGAACTCGAAGAAAAATTAAAATCAAGTGATAAAGATTTAAATCAAAAACAAATAGAATTTGAACAAGCCACTGAAGAAAATATTAAATTGAAAGAAACAGTTGAATTTTCTGAAAATCAATATATTGACTTGCAACAACAATTAAAAGAGTTGAGAAACATTATATTAAAGAAGGAAGAAGACATAAAATTATTTGAAGTTGAGATATCAGAATATTCAGTTTCTAAAGAAAACTTGCATAAACAAATTATTGAAGTACAACAAAATTTGAACAACAAACATATTGAGTTGGAAAATCAAATTCAGTGGTGCAGTGAGCAGAAAGATACTATTGTCCAATTAAAAAACGAAAAAGAATATCTTAACAATAAAATTAAAAACCTTGACGATTCTTTATCTCACAATGAATACAAATTCAATTTATGCGAAGGGAAATTATATGATTGTAGTAACACAATTAATGATTTAGAAAAAAAATTAAACATGATGAATAATGAAAAGTCAATTTTAGAATTGCAACTAAATGAAACTATTTCTAAATTGACAAATGCAAATCAAGATCTTACTCTAAAACTGGAAAACAATGAAACAAATACATTGGAAATTGAAGAAAAATTAATTCTAGAACAAAAAGAGTTAAAGAAACAAATAGAAAAGTCAAATAAACAAATAAAAACAATATCTCTTTTAAATGCTGATAAAGATAGGTTACAAGAAGAAACCGATAAACTTAAAAAATGTTTGAATATAAATGAATGTACTTTGAAATCATTGGAGGAAAAAGTTCTTATTTGTGAAAAACAGTACGATGAATTACAAACATTAAAGACGAATTTAGTATCGGAACTTAATGAAAGCCAGTTGAAATTAACAAATTTATGCCAAGAATCAAAGGAAGAACTTGAGGATATAAATATCAAATACATAGAATTACTAGAAAAATGTAATAAAAAACAGGTTGAACTTGATGAATACATTAGTAAATATAACTGCCAAGTGAAATTAATTACTGATTTAACCTCAGAAAAAGATAATTTGATAAATAGAATTGATGTGCTTGAAAGTACTTTATTAAAAAAAGATAATGACATTACTGCTAATCAAGAAAAATTAATTGTGTATGAAGAAATGAATGATAAAATAATAACCGAAAAGACTGTAATGGAAGTGGAATTAACACAGCGTCTTGAGGAAATGGAAAACAATTTATCTGGTTTACAAGAAATAGTAAATTGCAAGAATTTAGATTTAGAAACTAGAGAAATGGAAAATGATCAACTTTTAAAGACCATCTCAAGTTTGACTTCAGATAAAGATAATTTAATAAATGAAACAAAAACACTTAAAGACTGTTTATTGGAAAAAGAAAAAACTTTAACATTGAATGATATTAAATTGATTAAATTTGAAACATTATTGGAAGAACTTCAAAGTCAAAAAAAATGCTTAGAAGAAGAGCTGAATGATACTAGAGAACAACTAGACAACACTCAACACAAAATGACTCAAAAACTTGAAGTAAGCAATACAAAACTACAAGAAATTGAGGAACAGCTAATTAATCTGAAAGAGGAATTGGATGAACATAATAAATGTTCTATTGAACAAGTGGAGAAAATCAATTCATTAATGTGTGAAAAAAATAATTTGGTAAATGAGATAAATAAGCTCAAAGAATGTTTAGTTCAAAATGAATTTGATTTAGGGTTAAATCAAAATAAATTACAGGATTTTGATAAACAAAATAAAGAAATAGAATGCCAAAATATGTCGTTGATAATAGAATTGAATGAACTGAAATGTCAATTGAATAACTTACGTCAAGAATCCACAGAAGAAATTGATAAAATGAGCAAACAATTATTGGAAGCTCAAGAACAACTAAGCCATAAGCAATCTGAAATTAAACTGAAGAACGACTCAATAACAGATATTTACCAGAAAATAAATTACTTAAAAAATGTGAAAGTTGAACTTGAATCAATGCTAAAGAATGAAAGAAAAAATGTTGAAACATATTTTGAAACTTGTTTGAATTCATTGTATCAAATTAAAAACAAACCTATACTAGATCATCAACATGATTCATTAGTAGAAGTTATAACTTCTGCTGATACATTTATCGAACAAAATGGTATTCAATTGGCACGAGTTGAAAACTGTGATGAATACTCAATTATTGAAAGGGTGAAAAAAATATTTGAAGCCTTGAAAGTGTTTATAATCAGTTTAAAAACTCAAGGAAACGAACAAATAATGAATCATACTAATAATGAATCCAATGAAGCTTATACCGAATTACTTGCTTTATCAAAAACGTATGTATTTAATTTAACTAAATTTATCATGAACAATAAATTAAATATATTTAATTTCAGTCAACAAAAAACCATTCAACGTTTGGAAACTGAAATGTCAACATTGAAAACTGAATGTGTTTATAAAATGACAAAAGTGCAGCAAAAAACTCAAGAGTATGTAACTTCAGAATATGAAAAGAAGTTTGAACGAAAACGAGAACAAATGGTAAAGAAATAAACTATCATACTAAGTAAATATTAATATCAATTGTATTTTTCTTTTTAGAAACAATTTTGTAAAGATTTAGAAGCAAAAATTCATCAAGATTTTGAAGCTAAACTGTCGAAATACAAGGACAAAGTATGTTTTGTAAGTTCTCTATTAATTTTTATTAATATAAGCATTTTTTTAATAGATATCTAAAGATGAAATTCACATCAAAGAACTCGGTCAACAGTTATGGGAAGTTAGTGAAAAATATTTAAGGTTACAACAAAAAGATAGAAGAGAATCAACAATGTCCTTACCATTTGAAATGTCCGTGATTTCTGAAACAGTAAGTATTTGAAAAAAATTATAAATTAAAAGTTTAAGGTATTGAACAGTCATTTTTATGTACACTTATTTTACAGACAACCACTCTCCCAAAATATAATTCTTTTACATTGCCAAAGTCTAACTCAGCCGGTCAAATGAGGTAAGAATTTATAGCAAATAATATTTTTGTTCAATATTTTTATGTATCGTTTTATAATTTCAGGTCACTAGTGGAAGAGACCACTCGTTGTTACCAAGATAAACGAAATGTGCCTGCAGGAATTGGTAAAAAATTCAGCTTATCGTCTGGTGCGTTACTAACAAAAATCTAACATTATTAATATTTTTGACTATTATCTTATTTAAACACTATTGCTTAAATCAGTAATTCTCAACCTGGAGGATGCGTGACAACATTTCAGGGGGTCTTGAAAATTTTGAAAAAATTCGCGAAAAATGAAAACATGCTGTTCCTACGCTGTGCCTTGCGGGTAAGGAGGTGGGGCGTGAACTCATAAAATAGTTTGAAAGAAGGCATGGACCTCAAAAGGTTGAGAACCCATGGCCTAAATAATAATAATAAATTAATACCAATTACTTCAATACCCATCCAAAATAATGAGACATATTTTAAATATTTTTTTACTACTAAAATGGTCATTTCTAGCTTATAATATATGAAACTTTAATCTTTAGTCATTATGAGTTATAGTCTAGAGACCAAAATTATGTACGTTTGCGTATTCAAACTGAGAGTATGATCTTCAAAGAAGAGAAATAATTAGATAGGTACTATTACCAAGGTTTATGTGGACTTGATTTACCTGTCTTGTTATCAACTTGTATTAATTTGGTGCATATTTTTATCTTGCATACTTGCATCATATTTTACACCTTTTTAGACCGTACAATTCTATTCTAGTCTAAGCCAATTTCAAAACGATTCTTAAAATTAAAAAAAACCTAAAACTTATAACAAATTGAATAAAAATAATTTTAGTTGCAAAACTTTAAATTTAAACTGGATCTTTACTTGGTTGCGGTTTGCATAATATATTACATTTATATTAGAAAATAAAATAATAAATATGCTTTGCTACTCTTAATTTATTAATACTTCTGTTGATCAAAATTAATTTAATATGTAAAATATCTATTTATGAACTTAAATACATTGTTACCAGAAATATTGCTTGGATAATTAATAATGGTTTTACTGTTACTTAATATGCTTTAAGCTTTTATTATGTTTGTAATCAAATAATAAATATGCTTTATCTCGTGTCAGCCATTTCACGCAACATGTATGAGATCTAAATTCTGGAATACACTATAATACGATGTTCATTGTCATCAACATTACAAAAAAAAATAATTTATTAAGAAAGTCTTTACAAAGATTACTTAATTTACTCAACTAATTTTCCATATAAACAAATATAAAAACAATTAATTTGTTGTTGAAATGTAACTGTTAATTTTTGTTAATTGCATTTAAACTGAGAGTAACTGTAACTCAAACTGAAAGTTATTACTATATAATATACAACTCCAATTAGAATAAATTAGTTAAGTATATTAATAAATAAAGAGCATATCCTTTATGTATGGCTCTATTAAAGCTCAATAAAGTTTATTATGCATGTATTATAGTGTGAACATATCTTTATAAAATCAATGATATTTGTGTATTATATATTATATTATAAATTTTATTAGACATATTAAAAAAAAATCAGCCAAATAAAGAGTTATTATATATATAGCTTTTTTATTTCTGTGTAAACTATGAGACTTAATATAGTAGTATTAGCAAAGAATATTATAATTAATAATATGTATACTTATCTTTCTATACCAACATTAAAATAAAATCAATATAACCATGCATGATATTATTTTAAACAATTATTTTGTACATTTAAAAAATAAATAAAAAACTGTCTTATGTAGTTATATCAAAATAGTGGCTACCTTTATCATATTAAGAAAAAAAAACTGACCAACAACCCTTTAGACCCAACCATAGACATTAAAGAATATAATTATATTCTTAGGTAAAATATTTCCAAAAGAAGAAGATGAGGAAGGTGAAATGTTCAACCACTCATGCCTTTCAGATCTAAAACAGGGTAGGGTGAGACTCAATGATAATAAAAAACAATTTAATGAAAGACTGTCAGAACTACAAGCCCGCAACTCGCTTTGTCCACCACATTTAAGAAGTTGTTATGCTGCAGAGACCAATTTCTTGCCAAATACCTCATTAGTTTCAGAAGAAGATATTAAGGTGACTTATTATTATTTATTTATTAGAACCAATCATAATTTGTATAATCAATTAAATTTAATCTCTATATTATAGACAACAGCTAATTATAGTGATTATGAGACTGAAAACCTTATCCCAAATGATCGTACCAAGAAAAAAGATAGAAATCAGGTATTTTTCTATTACTTCATATATATTTAAGTGTTATAATTAATATAATATTTGTTTTATTTTATTTTCAGACATCTTATAAGAAACCAGGACCACCAACTCCAAGTAAAAATGGAGGTCGTGTGTCTTTATCGGTATGTTTTTTATAATTATTTTACAAATAAATATTTATGAATTTGCAAAACATTATTTAAATTTAAACACCTTCATATTTTTACGCAGAAACTAATTAATCCCTCATTGTAATTTTATATACAATTACATACTTCATTTTGTACTTGATTTTTCTTAATGCTGCTTACTAATTAATTGTCAGTAAATTAAATTATTTCTTATATGATGCCAAATTGTATTAAAATTAATTTTGTCTTTCATATTTTAAAAATTATCAGGACCATCATTTTTTCATTGAATAGGATGATATTTGTAGATGGTTTTTATTTTATAATTATTAAACAAGCCGTTTACCTTAATTTAGCAAATATGCATTTTTTGATAATCATTAGAGATGGGTCAAACTCAAAAATATGGTCTTGAACTGAACAATAAAATGTTGATTTCTTGGATGGAAACCAAAAACACTAAATTAATAGATTTAAAAAATTATAATATATAGATCTTGGAATTCATAGCACTAAAAATTACTTAAGTATAACCTAAAAAATCTTGTAATATGCCATAAAATCATTTTAAATATTTATGTTAAATGTTGATTTATTATGTGTAGGCATCAATTAAATGCAATGAAATGAGGATATTTAACTTATCTTCAAAATAACGTTTTTTAAACTATTATTATTAAAATTTCAAGATAAATAATAATATAATATTAAAATGTATGCATTAGTAAAGAGCACTACAAACTTAAAATGTGCAATAAATAATCATATAATTAAAATTTCTGCCATTAAAAAGTATAAAACCAATGTGTAGTTCATATTGCTTTTTTTACCTGTATTCTATCATGATTAGCAAGTACTATAGAATCTTGGCTGATAAAATGTATGCATTATCAGATTTGCATTTATACCATTGTTTATAAATTTAAGATTGTGATGATATTTTTAATTTAGAACCATTAATATGTATATTATATAATATGTTGTGCTACAAATGAATAATTAAATTTTACAATTTTTTTTTAATTTTAGAATAATCCGAAAATCACATTGAAAGAATCTAAAGAAACCAATACTAATAAAAGACGAGCCAGCAGTACTCCAAACAAATTATTTGGCTTATTTATGAGCAAAAAGAATTAAATTTATATAGTTTTTCAAGATTTTGAATTATCTAATAACTGCACGATTATTTTTATGTTTATAAAAATTGTATATCTTATTGCATTTTACTCTATTATTATTTTGTTTTTAATGTATTTTTATTGTCAATATTATTATTAAAATGTATTTTATATTTAAATCTCATTATACAATAAAAGTTGTATTATCATAAATTAATCAAAACTAATTGCTATTACTACTGTTATTTGTTAATTCTCTTTGGCCATTTTGCCTATACCTGTGATCAGTGTGTATTTGTATAAAATACACCTTCCCTGTAAATCTGGATAGTTAGTATCTCCCACATAATGAAATTCCAACTGTAACTTTTGACCATATATTTATACCACATAGTATCATAAAAATTATTAAATTTATTGGTTGTTTTCTTACATACCAGTTATAATATTAGTGTACACTAAATTTTAGTGCTGAAGGGTTTAAGTATAAAATTCAACTAGAGACTTTTTAATTCAAGCACGGAGTGGAACACCATTCTTGGTATCGGGACGTATTGCATGTGCCAGTTTACCTAATATAACCATGTATGTCGAGGAAAATAATACAAATAAGATTAAAGTAGGTATACAATAAATGATATTGTTAGTTGAAGGACACGGGTTTATTTTAGGGAATAATAATATTTATAATAAAACAATTGTTTTTTTATTTTGCGTCTGAAGACAGAAAAAATACTTCAATCTTTAATTTTTAAGGTGGTTTCTGGTAGCATTTCTACTTAAAATATAGTACAATACTCTTTCTGTATTTCACTTATAAGGTAAGTACCTACCTCACAAGATAGTTTTGTCAAAAGATTTTATTATTATATTAATGTTTAGGAATGTTACAAGCATAGATAATATAAATAGGTATTATAGAACAGCGGTTCCCAATCTGGGGAAGGACGTACCCGAAAAAAATTGGGTAACGACGAAAGAATATTGAATTTGTTTTGCTTAAAACGATTCGTTTCTGAAATATGCAACATACCTAGGTAGTAGGTACTTATGTTATTAATAATAAAAACTTACAGTCTGAGACTTGTCATAATGCGCTTCACATTGTCGGGCCACGTACCTTAAAAAATATAGATCTGATTAAAGGTTAACACAATATCAGCAGTGATCAAAACTTATGTTAGTATGATTGGATATTTGGATGTAAATTAAAAAGTAGGCAATAACTTTTAAGTAATAATGATTTAAATTTAGGTATTGTCTTTGTCTTACAATTGCGTACCTAGCACATTCAGCAGATCTCATTCATATTAATTAAAAAAGCTTCGTTAGTTTTAGTATTAAACTGAATTTATCTATCTATTATTATTTATTTAACTAATGAAGCTCAATGATGATAAATTTCAAAACAGTGAACGTGCCATCATTTTGTAACTGTGAGTCTTAATAACGACCAATTTTTATTGGAGTGTATTATTGTATATCATTATCATTGTTATATCAAAAGCATAGTTGAATATATAATTCTAAAATATTTAATACCTATATCCAGGGTAATTAAACTACTCTAAAATTGGTGTAAATATTAATAATTATGAGACGTATCAGGAACTTTTATAAAATATAAAATAATATGCAATATATTGTTTTATACACTTCACGCAAACCCAATGTGTTACCCGGCGTATAGCGTAGGCAAAATAGGTACCTGCGTATTAACGGAGCTGCCGTGAGTCGCGATGAATCAAATGCGGCGTTTAGATTGTTCGAGCTCACGTATTTTAGATAATATGTCGTGATTTCGAGAATAAAAATATATGCTTTCAACGTCACACATGCCCGTGTCAATAACTATTTAATGTAAGTCTAAAAATTGAATGTAAGCCCCCAAAATAATATGAAAACAAACGTACTACGCATAAACATCGACTCTTCCGGTGAAACATATTATATAGCTGTGCGCCTATGTCATATCTGAAGTGCTGCAGACGTGCATTACTCAGCTGCCGGAGGAATCTTCGTCCGTTTTAACTTCTCTCCGAACTGAAACTTGAAAGCATCGAGATATTTTCGAAAATAACCTGAACCTAACGAAATGTGCGAGTCCAAGTTACATTATGCAATGCTCAACAACTTTTTCGTCTATTGTTGGTTTATTTTTTATTTATTTTGTTCGATGAAAGTATTAGAACAGTTAATAGTCTCCGACGAATGTCGACAATTGAAGATTCTTAAGGATGATATAAATAATATATAAAATATATTATAATAAGATAAATATTAATAATTCATGTATAATAATAATAATTTATATATTTTAATTAATTAAGATAATATATATTATATTCAGCATACTGTCTATTGATAAATCACAATAATATGTTCTTTTACAGACATCTTTGTGATCTAATGTAATCTAGTTTTCTACTCAAGCTCTTTGTCGCAGGTCAAATTGAACCATACAAACCATAGTTTACAAGTTTATAGACATTTTTAGAATGCATTCTCCGGCAGGTGGCCCAATACCTAGTGCATGGACACTGGACACAGTGTCCAGTAGAAAAGTTACATTCTTTTGCTGATTAAATTACAACCCTAATTATAACTTATATACTAGGCTAAAACTCGACTTCCAGTACTTAAATACAGAAATGTGATCTGAGTAGGTATATTGATGTATTCTAAAAAAAAGCTTTTACCTATAAATTATCGGGTATATCGTGAAACCGTCATCAGCTACAACATTATACTGGTGTAATATTTTGTATTTGATTTTTTTTTTTTTAATTTAAAAACACTCCTCGACTACCAGGATTATTGGCTTTCTGAAGAAACACATTACGTTTGTTTACACATTACATAATTTCTAAAATACATTACTACTAACTACTAAGTTGTACCTATACAAAATATCTTAAAATTATACATTAAAGTTGTTGAAAATACATGTGATATAATCTATGTGTTCTTGCTATATTTTCTGAAATACGTTCGTCTCCTTGAAGAGTTCCAAAAGATTCGATGTTCTTTCTGTGTTGCTGATGTTATTTCGCGTAGATTGTAGGGGAGCATCAGTTTGTCTCTGGAATCTTTTGTCTGGAGGCATTTGGTTAACAGGTGTTTAACAGTAGTTGTGGTGTTACAGGAGTTACATTTACGTTGTTCCTTTTTGTTCATTAGATGTTCGTGAGTGCATAAGGTGTGACCAATTCTTAATCTGTTGATTATGGTTTTATGTTTGCTCGGAAGAGACACGTAGTCGTGCACCCATGGGAGGGTGGTTAATTTAATTTCTCTCAGTTTGTTATTTTTTATTAGTCTCCATTCTTGTGAGCACCTTTGACTTAGGTTTATATTTATTAGGAGTCTTGTGTCGATGTGAGTTGTTATATTATGTGTTTCAAAAATCAGCTGTAGGCTCTTTGGCTGCCTTTTAGCTATATTGTCTGGTGTTTCATGTCCAGTAATATTATTGCGTCCAGGTACCCAGAGGAATCCAATATATTTTTTGGTTTTAAATAGAATATACAATATTAGATAGTGCATAATATGGGGTTGTTTTTTTTGGGATTGTCCAAGTTTTTGAAAGCACTGAGTGAGTCAGTGTACACGGGGTTGTGCATTGATTATTTGCGGAGAAAGATAATTCTGTGACTTTCAATAGAGCTAGATATTCAGCTTCCTAAATTTGAGCTATGCACCTATTGATATCCGATTTGCTGTTTAGAGGTCTGGCTGGATTATTGCGATTACAGTTCCTTTTTTTTTAGGCATCTACATATTTGTATTTGATTGTTAAATATAATGTCATGGGTATATTGTTATTGTTTGTACTTTGATTTATAAACATTAAAGAATTAAACTCACCAATGAATTTGTCATTTTTAAACTTATACTGTTGGTATAATAGTTAGCATGATATCTTTGGATAGTGGATATGTACTATAAGTATTATTATTATATACAAATTTTAATTAATTAAATCGTAAAAGTTAATTACAAAACTACGAAAACGTAATTTGTCGATTGTGGTCACTATGTGTTAGTGAAACCGGAATTTACCGATCTTACATAGTATTTTTGTTTAGGTATTGATAATAAATTCTGTTGGTAAATTCTGATTTCATCAACATGTTATAGGGCATAAAAATACTGTCATATCCAAAACAAACATTTAATGAAATCGCTTGGGAAGTAAACCATACATATTCGTTCCTTAAGTTTTAATGCGTATACCTCATGGAGTAATATTATCTAGGCCCTGCCCTCTATAATAGTCTAATCGTATTATACCTCTACACGACTGCGGCCTGACAAAGAATTATATTTTTTTTAAATTCGGCCTTCTTAGCGCTCCTGACGGACAACATCGTAAAATTACAACTCACTTTTCGACGCCGAGGTGACTACACATCACGGTCTTAGATTATCTACACATCCATAATATTATCTAAATCGTGCTAAGGTCCTTATCATTTTTAGTATTTACTATTTTTCGGACATCTACCGTCTGGCGACTGCCCATGGTTAAGATGTATTTATTTATGTTTGCTGCTCTCTACGACAAAAACTGAAGGACTGTTAATCAGTGCCCCGTGGATACTGGAAGTCTGGATAGAACAGTCTGTTATTACTTATTTGTACATTATTATGATTATTTACGTCCGTGGTCCACGATTAATGATATTATAATATCTTTAATCGTGCCGTGGTCTTACATAATTGAATTCATTTGATTTTTGAGTGTTTAGAAAAGAGTTAATTTATCTAAGTATCTAGATCTTCTTTTATTTGTATAATTGTAATCTAAGTTCTTTCAAAATGTATACAAATCAGTACACTCCTCAGTATTCTCAATATAATCAACAATATCAACAATATCCAGCTAATTACTATCAAATGTACAATTATAACCAGCAACCTGCTTATAATGTTCCACCACCGACACAAACAGCTACAACGTTTAGTCCAAATGTACCGGTCCAACAGCCACAAGTTTCAACTCCCGGACAAAATGTTACAAGTTTGTGGATGGGTAGTGTATGTGAAACCATATTTTATAATTTGTTGTTATTCGGTAATCATGAAGTACCTATTATTATTTTAGCTGGAACCTTATATGACAGAGAGCTTCATAACAGGTGCATTTCAAAAGATGGGAGAATATCCAAAAAATGTTAAGTTGATGCGTAATAAAAATACGGGTGAAACTGCTGGTTATGCATTTGTTGACTTCTATGATCCAGTATCTGTTATGCATAAACTCAATGGAAAATATATACCTGGTACTAATCCAGTAAGTACCTAGTCATTTTAGTTTTTATTTTCTTATTTATATTCGCACTGGGTCTCTAGCCAAATGCGATAGTGATTTTGTTTTCTATCGACTACCAGTAAATTTAAAAATTTTATTTGTTAAAATTAAAAGAAATTCGGAACATAGAACCGTGTAAAAAATAGCAACTTTATAAAAATATATATAAGATAATTTTTAGTTCAATACTCTGTAGGAACTTCATAATAATATTAGGTATGATACCTATAAAACCTTTATGTTTAGTACCTATCTATTATAAAAATGTACAAGTACACATCATTAATGTATAATATAAGATTTATTCATATATACAGCCACAAAACAGGTAGTAACAATATAAACAACATTTCTACAGTGAACGTAGCTAGCCACAGCTGCTAGGATAATAATTCTTCTGTTTTGTTATAATAATAATAAATAATATTTTAATTCTGCTGATAAAATAATAATTTGTAACAAACTCTGCTACTTCTAGTTTGTCCATCCAACCAATAATAATATAATAAATTCTTGCTGCCACACACTCAAAGTCTTTTATTTATAATACTAAATATGACAAATAACTCAAATTATTTGCATTTTTTTCTATTAATAAGTAGGGCTCGGGACTTCTAAGAGTTTGCATGTTTTTAAATAATCATTAAAAACATAGCTAAGTAAAATAAAAATTTGTTTCATAGCATTACAAGTTTATATTTAAAATTTATAGTTGCATATTTTGCATATTTGACCATTTTTCATTTTATTAGTGCATATTTGACAATATTATTTATATGAGAAGTAAGTTTTTAGTTTTATAAAAAAAATTTTATTTTAAATAGATTTCCTGGACCGGATATAAATATTTAAAAATTAATGTTTGCATTTTTCTTGCCTATCATTATAACTGTATTGTTATTTATCGGTATATCACACTCGTGATTCCCATAGGCGATAAGCCAATAATGATACCAAAAAACATTTTATAGACTATGACTAGTTGTAGATAGAGGCCAGATGGTCCCTTGAATAGTAATAGTTGACAGTTGGTGTTGTGCGTTCTGCGTATTTTGGTTTCGTGAAGTGTTTATTCTTTCGAGTGAGCCCATAATAAAATAATTAAAAAATGCCTAGCTTAACGAAAGAATATAATTTTTTTTAAATGCATATTTTAATAGCATATTTATTGATTCTTTAGGGCGTAAATGCATGCATATTTTAAGGTTTTTAAGGGCATGAAGTCCCTAGCCCTAAGCAAAATAATATTGTACTTGAAAATATCATTCATTAATAAAATCATACAATAATTTTACAAACAAATTATTTAATTAAAAAAATTATTACCAGTATAATTTACTAATTTATAGTTATATATTATTTCTAATTTTTAATTTTTAATTTCTAATTATATATTATTATTACAAATTATACATTACATTATTGTGTTATGTATGTATATAAGATGAGCTAAATATAAATTATTGTTATTATTAAAATGTTTTATAGTAAATATAACTTATTTTTTAACAATTAATAGAAATCTTAAGTATTTTTTTTTAAATAAAGCTCAGATATATATTTTTTAATTAAATTGTATAAGTTTTTTGTGCATCACATTATGTGAACCTCATAAGATGCCACTGATTTTGGATAATTATTTATAGCCTGTAAGATTTAAACTCAATCATGCTGGAAATCCTGGAAAAAATACTACTAGTGACAAAGATTTTTCTGTGTGGTTGGGTGAACTTAGCTCAGATGTAGATGACTATCAGTTATATAAAACATTTGCTTGTCGCTATCAATCTATACGCACAGCCAAAGGTAGTACTGAAAATGTTTAAATAATATGTTCTACTGTAATAGTTTTTTAATATATAGTTATAACTTTTCAGTGGTCTTGGACAGTGCTGGTTACAGTAAAGGATATGGATTCATTCGTTTTGGCAGTGAAGAAGAACAAAAACATTGTCTTAATAATATGAATGGTTTTCCTGGTCTTGGTTCCAAACTCATAAAAGTTAGCAGTGTCATACCAAAATCAGAACGCCATATTGTTGTGTAAGATGATTTAATTGTTTTATTATATTTTAATTAATTCACAAACAATTTTAAAAATGTGTAACAGTGTTAGTATTTAATTCTAAAATTGCAATTAATCATCTCAATTTATTATTGTTAAGTGTGAATTTATAAAATTGAAAAACTAATCTATTAACTAATTTAATTTATCTATTTTTTACATGATTTTTAAACTATAAAAAAAGCTATGCTTTTAATTAACATTTTCATAAGTTCTTAGAATGTCTTTAAAGACCAAACATGCTCCAAATTAAGTGTTTATGTACCTACTCTAAAATATTGTATATTAGAAAAACCCTTGGTGTTTTTTTTATTCAAAACTTTTGAATCACATGTTGATTATATTAGAAATGAGAATCTTAAGTGAAATTAAGATTATCAAAACACATATGTAAAGGTTTTAACAATGTCAGTTCATTTTTAGAGTTACATTCTACACTTCTATTACTTTGATCTCATTTTGATTACACTTCTTTAATTCTGGATACAGCTAATATTTATCTCCCAAAATCAATGTTTAACTATAGCTCAAAATAAATTTTTAAGATATTTATCTTTAAATATCACATTAAAAAATTCCAGAATGTAGATGTGGTAATACTTGTACTTTTTTTTATTTTTATGTTATGTTCAAAACTTTAAAAAATTGCAATTATATGCAATAAATTTACAAATGATTCCACTGACCACATTTATTTTGTTACTGACAAAATATAGTATCATAATAAATTATTATAAAATATCTATACTTACTAATATTCAATATTTATAAATTGGCTACCACTGTACAGCAGATATCAATATATTAATATTATATAATTAACATGGATAATAACAAAACTCGTTTGACATAAATTACAATATGTGTCCTAAACTTTTTGCTTAAATCTAGGATGAATCCAATTAGTTTTAGAAGTAAATCAATATTTTATCTTTCATCTGTTAAATTAAAATATATGTTGTACACTCCTGGAAAATGTTCTCATGTCTACGCTCTGGAAGAAATTTAAATAATACTGTAAAATCATTTAAGTTTAAATTCAACACAATATTTTTTACCCACCCGTACAAGAATCAATCATATAAAAAATTTTGTCCAAAGATTTTTGAGTTATCTTAGAGTTGATTACTTATCACAAATATGTGTATATATAATAATTAAAGAGGGTAAAATTTTTGAGGGTTTGACATCAGTTTTATACTTTATTATTATTTGACTTTGAAAATAAAAATAATGTTTTGTATATTGAAATGAATATTAAATAATAAATTGTTTTGATACAATATTTAGACTAATCTATATGTCATACTCGTATAAAAATGTGTAATCGGTAGTTTTACTCTAACATTACTCTATAACAAAAAAAAAAATTTTAAGTGAATGCTCTTTGACTTTGTTGTATCTGTTGTCAGAGAGAGAAAACAAACACACTGTTGTCTCAAACACTGCATTGTTTGGTTTAACATTTTTTTTTCTAAATAAAATTGTTTTTATTATTATTTTAATTTTAAACAATCCTTGTACATGTCTTGTTTACTTTCTACATAGGCTTACAGCTTACTGTCAATTTTTTTACTAAAATACTAAAATTATAATTATATTATTGGAATTTATTTCTATAAATAAAGAATATTACCATCATTATTATTATTAATATAATTACTATAAAATTAAATCATCTTTATCTATATCTGAGATAGCCCAAAAATTAGATTCAAAAGGTGTTAGTGTAACTGTTAATTAGGAAAATATTAAGAGTTATAAGATAAAAAAAAAGATTATCTTTAGTTGCAATGGTTATTAATTATTTTCAGTTTACAATTATTAGTTATTTAAATGTTTTTTTTTTATAAACAAATTACGTATATTGATGTATATAATTTTGATTATTAAAATCTTAAAGTCTTGTTGGTAATCTGAATACTGGGCCCTAGAATATCATGGAATTAATATGATGTTCATTTGTTCTTTTTTTATGTTTATTATAAAAAAAGAATAATAAAAGAATAATCACAACCTACCTATACCTACTATATATTATTATTATACAATCAAGAATTTGTATTCCATACAGTAAGTATATTATATCCTTTGCTCGTAAAAATTATTTTCCTACTAGGTACACAGTACTTAAATAATATTGTGAATTAATATCATATTTATTTATATACCTAACTATTTTTTTTCTTTTATAATATATATAATATTAATTAATTTTACATTTAATTTAAGTTATCTAAGTACCATATTATGTAAAACAAGCCAATGGTCATTTCATCGAGGCTTTCTTCTTTAATAAAAAATATATATTTTTATTAATATTAATATGTATTATAATTTTTAATATATTGAATAATTTAGTATTTTATGTCTTAAGTAAAGTTAGATAATTTAAAAAATAATTGTATTACAATTAAAATGATAGTATAAAATATTATTGGTTTAGTATTAAATAATATTGTAGTGTAGGTAATTATATTTCAGTACAATAATTGGTCTATTATTTTAGTGCTTCAAATGACTCTCAAGGGTATAAAGCTAGTCAAGATTATGGACAATATTTTGAAACTAACTATTGGCATCGATACTCAATATGGAACCAACCTGAAAGTCAGAATTATATGCTTAAGCCAGAACCAGCTACTGAAATTACTGTTATTAAAACAAATAGCAGTTTAAATCTAGTTGGTATGTCATTAATTCTGAACAAAATATAAAAAAATACATTTTAAACTTAATAAGATTTAAAAACATAAATGTCATTTTTGTATAATTTTTATAAATACAATTTTTTGCAGATTACAAAGTGTCAATTGACATAGATGCATTAAACAAAGACCTCGTCACACAAGATTACAATTTATGGGATGCACTTGAAAGTTCTAAATGGCTACCACTCGACACTATAGAAGCTATTTAAATAATAAAATATGAAATATTTAAGAACATTTAACTAAGTTTTTTTTAAATCTCTTATTTCTCGTATGTACTTTTATAACATGTAATGATATTTTTATATTTGTAGAAATACTTGAACTTTAGATAACAGAAAATGCTGTTCGATAAATATAACTATTATTCAAATCATTATAACGTAAGATTGATAAGCAACAAATCGTATTTATTTGAGTACCAAATTATTTTTTTATGTATGCATGTTAGCCTAATAAGGAATTATTAGTATTTTACTGTTTCGTTTTTTTTCATGTCACTTTTTCCTTGGATTTGTAGTAAACCTACTTAACAGATTTAATAAATCTATAATCTCTTATGTTGTAGCCAACAATTATTTTCTAAAAATAGTTTCTTATTATTTCCATATTTGTTTGATACTTAAATGATTAAAGGTGATTTTAATTATCATTTATCAGTTGTGTTATTATGTAATTATGTTTTGATACATAGGTGTCCTGTTAGGATATACCCATTAGCCATAGAGGGGGACCGCCGCTTGGACAAAAACTGGTTTTTGCCGTTTTACCTATAAACTAAAATAATTTTTATAAATCATGAAGAGTATAGACATTGCAATGGGTAAATCCACCCGGGACACCCTGTATCTAGGTTAAAATATTGAACAATAATGTAACATGTCCTGTATTATTTAAATTTGTATTCTAACACTAATTAAACATGTATTTGAAGTATTATTTTAATTTTTTTTTTATCAAATTATAAAGTTAGTGAATACAACTAAAAGCGTTGATTATAAATACTATTTATAATCATAGCTAATAGAAATTTATACTCAAAATGTAAACTTTGATTTTGATTTTATGAGTTGCTATTTTTACAAGAAATTAAATGTTGTATTTTGGTGTGATGTTATTTTTCATAATAAAAAAATGTTGATATTAAATCTAGGTTTTTGATTATAAATTTTAAATTAACTATTGAATAGTTAATACCTCATTTTCTAAAAAAATAAGTGGCTAAACACAGATTTCTTGATTTAGCAAGTAATCTGTCCCAACTTGCACTCTAAAGAAATTAAAATTGGCATTCTAATTTATTAATACATAAATAATAATACTCCTATCAGTATTATGTTTTTAATATGTGCTTAAAATAATAACTGTGTCGGTTATTTTAATTTATGCTTTTTTAAATGTTGCACAATATAGTTGTATTAGAATATATTGATTATAAAAAGGTAATCTTTTACTCAAAGTTTGTGAAAGCTAATAATGTAGACAATAAGGTAGATTAGTGATAAGTAATTGTAACGTACTAAAAATTTACTAAATATGCATAATATGCAATATACAATACACCATAAACATAATTCTACTGTTGCAAGATATCATCACATATTTATATCATTGATTATTTGTGTCTGACAAGAAGCAGTGCATCTGTGTTATGAGATGTACATAATTTAGTGGACATTTTAAGAGGTCTTGGCGGGAAGAAAGCTAACGCCCAACCACCAAAAAAAATGTGACCCAAATTGATTTATTAACTAATTTAATTAAAATAAGTACCAATTAAAAGGATAATATCAAATTATTAATTGATAATTCAGTTACTTAGTATAAGACATTAAAATTGTTAAATTAACTAGATTTTGAGAGCGATGACATATTTCTAGCCAGTCAAAATCCCATTTACTCACAGAATATGTACCTATTTTTAATATACACATACCTTAATCTTTATTGATTATTCATTGCTAATAGTTTCCATCAATATCTGTAGATAGCCCACCACCATGATTTATATTACTATTTACTATTTTTTTTTTTTATTTATAAGTAAGCATTCTATGTTACGATAAACCAAAACCGAAAACGTTACAATTTCAAATTCATTTTTTGGATTTACAAGACAAAGATGTTAATGTGAAAATAGTAAAATAAATGGTAAGAAATATTTAATCAGTGCTCGTTATTACTTATTTGTATACCATGAAAACACGTAATATTCGCAGAGGTGTTTTAGAGACTCGTGTACTTAGTTTAATTTAACCACGATTAAAGATTTAAGATATATCCTTAATCGTGGTTTTAACCACACAAGTACCCAATACGAAACCAAGTTTTATTTACGGTTGTTCAAATACGCATCGATACGTCGAGTGTGGGGAATAATATAATATAGAAATGCGTTTAATTTGACTGCGGCGACGTTGTTGACAATTTTGTATGCCACAGATGGCGCTGTCCACGGAAGTGCCATGGGACAGCCGAACATGCACGTCCAACTGATCGATTTTCGGACAGGATAACCAGGGACTGTCGGTCAATATGGACGCGTAGATGTTTCTGTCGTGTAATCCACGCTCCGCGACGGCCACGACCAGATTTTCAAAGGGACCGAACGTCATCGTCGAGCCCTAAGTCAGTATCCGACTCGCACCATCCCCGGTAGCCCGCCAACCGCATATAAGAGTACTCGAAAATCTCAACCAGCATACTTACCTGGCGTGGAGGTCAACCGTGATCACTTCGGCGGTTCCTCCAGGGCGAGGCCGGTTCATTGCACATAGAATCGGTTGACCCCTGCGAGTATCCCTAATGTGGATACCTCGGGCGCAGAATTTTTGGTAGCTGGGACTGCGTTCGCGCCGTCCCTTATATGACTTTAGTACAATACATATATAGAAACACTGAAATCCGTCACGCCTACTACTTTTTAATTTAAACCTAAGTGGCTGTCGATGTTTATACCTATTTCTACCCGGTCCGACGAGTAGTTGATTAGCTGATCCCACCACGTGAACCGGGTTGTTGAATTGGTACAAATAAATTTGCATGTTATATATTTTGCAGGCCCTAGAAACTTATGAACTGCGTTCATAAACTAACACGATTGAACACTATATAGCAATGTATACAAGGTTTATTAAATATTTGAATAGTAATATTATTATACAGTACACTATCACCAGAGTAACCCTGTTCTTAAGGGTAGTATATTGAAGATCACAGGAGTAACGGAGTACGAGTTGAAATAATTAAATTATTATGTATAAGGTCGAAAAACCAGATAGCTCCGGAGATTTTTTGCTTCTTGAAAAGTTTTGAAAAATGGAGCTGTCTGGTTCTTGCACGGACGACGGACCTCTTACTCCTATTTAGTATAATAATATAATCTATTAACCACAAGTAAACAAGATACTGATTTATATTTTATAGATGTTTAGAATAGCAGTCACATGAATATTATTTGTAGAATATAATTTTTTTTCCTACTTTCATAGTTTCCAGCCTGCTGCAGAACCGTAGAATTTATCTGTTTTATATTTGAGCGATTTTCCTGAACATAATTTATAAATAATATTCTATTGTTATTATATAGGACTTGAGCAATTTGTACTCAATGATAATGTTATAAAACAAGAACTTATGTCGGGTCGCATGAAACATTTATTAATTCAATGGTTCAATAAAATAAAAAATGTGCTACTAAATTTTTAAGGGACTATATTATTGTTTCGTTAAATTAGGTGTTTATTCGTTTAGTGATTATTCATGGAACTCAGCATTAGAGTAATAAACAATAAAGACGAACACACGGGTCACGGAACATGCATGAATCATAAATATCATATTAAATCAAAATTTAATGCCAGTCTACCGCTCTTTCAACTCCAGTAAACGCTAGATGTCGTTGTCATAATGTTGGGTCCGCGACTCACGAGGGACAAAAATACAAAACAAAATTTTTTTTAACTATCGTGGGTAAATGACGAGTTGGTTGTTTGTTAACAATATTTAAAACAAAATTTTTAATTATTTTCTAAACCAAAACCAGTTTGGAAATCAAATTTAAATCAATATAAAATAAATAATAAATATTTCATTTTAAAATCAATAAATAATTATTTTACTGCACTAACTTCAATAGCTTAAGTATTAATAGAATTATATAAACATTTTTAGGTCATTTTTGTGTTTTTTATGTCTTAAACTCATAAATGATAAAAGCATTTTTCAAGGCATTAACACTTAGTCTATTTTTATAATATTCTCATTTTGACCAAAAAATTTAACTCTGTTTGTAATACTTCATTTACACCGTTTTGGCGAGTGGAAGGTATCTATGTGGTTTAATTTTATTAATTATTGACTTAACATTATGGTATAGACTTTAAACCTCAGGAGTTATAGTGGTCCTGCACAGCGTTTCCAGTAATTAAGTAAATACCCATGGGTTTACCCCGTTTTCAACTCTTAAACTTCGTTAAATGTAAGCTACACAGTAATTTATGTGGTTTTGACAAAATATATAGAATACAATTTTAAAATGATATCAACTAATAAGAATTATTTTGTATAATGTAAACAATATAGCAATCATTTTTCGAATTTCTTTACAAATATTTTATTAAAATAACAAAATAATTTATTTAGTCGTGTAACCAAGGTATATGACAATTGTCATCAAAAATAAAATTATATTTAATAATAATAATTAAACTTGCTATATTGGAGAAACTTATAACTATAGGATCCATCGTTCATCTTAAGTTTAGTATGCCTTCGGTATATAGCATTTTTAACGTTTTCAGCAAGTAGCAACCTTAGGTCTTAGCGCAATAATGCAAGTAATATAACATACAAATTACTAAACATTTGAATACCTGCATGGTTAGTGGTTACATATTATTATTTATATCAGTGAAACCGCAAACCACTGCACAGGGGATCATCGCAACCACGCACAAGCGACACCCATGTTCGCAGTTCATTTCATGAATAAATTATTTGGACAGCTATAATAATGATTTATTTAAAATTGTATATTGGGAAAACAGATTAACAAAACGTGCTCTGGTGGAAACAATTTCTACCTTCTGATTCGGTACGTATGGATATAGTTTTATATTGGTTATTTAACTTTTTCTAATAAGTTAATTTTGGTATTGAAACTTCATATATACGCTGCAGGTATACCTTAACAAATAACAACTAACTGTACACCCTGGTATGTACAACTTCTAATGATATTATCAAATATATTCAAATTTCAAATACATTTCACTGAAAGCAAAACATATACCAAAGAAATGTCGGGAAAATACATACAATCTGAAAATTGTATCTCGACTTATCACGTATTCGGAACCCGTTTAACCATTAGTAGAACATCACTCCCAATGTTAATCAGCCCTCCCAATAATCTAATAAATAATGAATTTGTTTTTCTAATAAAAATAAGTAAGTACAAGTATAGATATTTTTAGTAAATACCTTACAGAATTTTTTTTTAGAGGCCCGACATTTTCTTTTGCACCGGGGTCTGCAAAATTCAGATCCAGGCATCTTGCACTGATATTATAGTTGTATCACTAATATATTTTTTATAACCAATGATATATTATCAGAGATCTATATAATAATTATTAATATATACATAAAATAAAGCCAATAAACTTCAAAATGATCACACATAGTACTAGGTACATAGCGACATAAGAATATAGGATTTGTATAGGTGAAAACGGAAAAGCATATTAATAAGAAGTTTTCTGAAAACAAAAATAACTTAACGATGTTTTTACGAGTTTTTTCAGATACTATATGTATAACCTATTAATGGCTTGGTTGGTTCAAAGATATCTCTAGTGGTTACATGGACATATTATGGTGTGTCAACAAGTTTTGATTTAAATTTATTTTTCGTACTTGTAAGCACATAAATATTT